GCTTCTCATATAACGGTAAATTTCAGAACTGCTTGAAACTTCAAAATTTCGAAATCTAAGGACTCTAATTTACTCAAAATTGATACACCTCGGCTTACCATATAGCCGTAGCTTTCGGTAAGGCGAAAAACATATATTTAATACGTGCGCCGGGTTTTTAATGTTCGGCTCTGCCCGAACTTAGGCTTTCTTACTTGTTTTTGCTTAAATTTGGAGCAGAAAAATTATACACATCAACGGTCTTTGCGTTTGTCAAAATTTGATATGCTCATGGGGCTAGTGAAATTTTATTCACCTCATACTTGTCAAAAATTTACTCGCAGCCAACTTTGTTACCGATTCACACACGCTCTCTATACCATTTCTACGAAAAGTTGTTTTTTCCCCATATAAAATACATGGAAAACTTTGGGCGCTTTGAGCGAAAATAAAAAAATAAGGGTACATTTTTTTCGGTATAGAACAGTCCTAGGGGGTGAGAGCATAAAAATTCCGACTTTACTTTTTCCACATGCATTTTTGCACCACCCTAATGTACATATATTAAGATTTGAGCAAAGTTTCAAAGTCAATTCATTAGTTTTCCGCGCGTTCAAAATTCACTTTGCATATATTTTTAGGTATGTATATACAGACCTACATACATACATACCGTCGTTTAAAGTACAAAACCGCGTATCAACAAAATGCAAAACCGCGTATGTGAGGTTGCATAAATTATTTTCTAGAGAGTAAAAACACTCATATTTCAAAATGGTTATCTTTTTTATAAAACAATCGCATTTCTGGCTAGTATACTTCAGGACGAATGGATAAGGATTGAGCCAAGGGTTTGTGTGCGTAAATCCAATTTTTGGCAGCAAATATCAGTTACGCGGTTTTGCAGAATGACGATACACGGTTTTGTACTTTAAACGACGAATTCATAAGTATCTACAAATATACATACATACATAAATAAGCATAAATAATACATACATTTTTCTTAGTTTCGCTTTAAGGGTTCCGACTCTTTTCGTTGTTCACAAAATGATTGCAACAAATAGAAGACGCATTGAATTGAAATATAACTCAACTTTTCCGCTCAAATCTTACTCGCAAAATTTTGAGCTAAAAGCTCATTCACAATCCGGTTACTTTTCACTTCATTTGTTGTGATTTTTTTTTTTTTCAATCTACATCTGTTTGACATATCGAGGTGTGTGAAATCAGCTGTGCTGTGTTTTCGCTTCAGTGCGCAAAATCATAAAAATTGAGCGAATATTGCCACAAAAAACAGCAAACAATAAAAATCAGTGCGAAGCGAAAAATGGTATTTTTTTTTATTTATATGCACTTATAGTACACATATGTATCTACATGTGCATATGTACATATACATATCGCACACCGTCTTCAAAAGAGTCACAACTCAAAATAATACGTTCGTCATAAAATGCGAAAAAACTATTTCATAACACATACTAATCGTATGGGACTTTACCTTAGTTTTTTTTTTTTACCAAATTATAACAAAAATTTGCTTCAGCTTTTGCTGAAAGGTAAATAAAAGCTCTGTGTACATATTTAGCGCATAATTTCAAAAATGCCAAATTTTGAGTTGTGACTCTCTTGAAGACGGTGTGCGATATGTTCATTTACATATGCACATATGTTGTCATTATTTTCAAATTTTAGCTACAACCCCGTAGGAAATATGAGCACGTAATAATGCCTTACCAGCAACTTACACTTCACCCCTCGGTCCTTACCACTTCCCTGCCTAATCTTATGCTTATGGAAGTAGGAATTTAGAATTTAGATACATTTGATATCAGTCATACTTCTGAACCGCAATCGAACCTATTCCAGTTAAAATGCGTCCCTTGACCGAAATGATATGAAGATGGTAAGAGAGAGAGCCGCTTTACCTTCTTCTGAACTGAGTATCAATCTGAATCTGATAGTTTTCTTGAAAGCAGCTAAGTTATTAATAAAGGGGTTTCAATTGGGACGAAAATTGTCAGCCTGTGCCCCTTGCCCCTTGTCTATACAGCCACAGAACCTAAACACCTTTACAAAGTACACGATTGAGAGCTGAACCAGTCACCGATGTAATATCGTAGACTGTGATAGCTATATGACCTATCTTATGGGATTCTCGTGCACATGAACACATCTTAAATCTGAACTGATCGGACTCCGGGCAACCCTTTGCTTGCCTTTGTTATGCGATCCTTGGTCGTGTTTTAACGATCCTAATCACTACAGAGTTGGAGTACATCGTCCTGCCCTAGAACATAGCACTGTTAATTTGACCACATTTTTATACCTTTCATGAGCATGAAATGGTATTATAACTTTGGTC